CCCGCCAGCCGGGTGTTTTTGGACCGCAGCTGTTGGAGTCATTCCTGTTCTCCATCAGAGCCGGTTCAGACAAGGTCAAAGGTCAGAGGCAGGAACTCAGGGCTCTGATTGTAACTAGGAAACAGCTGGACCCCTCAACCTGTCAGGCCGGTTTTAGCAGTGACCTTCAGCGCCGAGGGTCGGTCCAGAACCAGGAGTCAGAGAACGAGTCGCCATGGCGATGTGCAGCTTCAGCGCTCAGAAAAAAGGAAAAAGTCGTCCAGTGTCTCCGCGACAGAAAGGACGCCTGTGGCCGAGCACAAGGCTCCGTCTGTTGCAGGAGAGGAAGTGGAGACTCAGACAGGACAGCTGCTCATTCCCGACCCCGATGGCGTTCCAACGCCCCTCCTGGGCGCTCAGCCACACATGTGGAGGTTCTGCAGGGCGGCGGGTCGCCTCCTCGGCCCGCGGGGCGGCGGGTCGCCTCCTCGGCCCGCGGGGCGGCGGGTCGCCTCCTCGGCCCGCGGGGCGGCGGGTCGCCTCCTCGGCCCGCGGGGCGGCGGGTCGCCTCCTCGGCCCGCGGGGCGGCGGGTCGCCTCCTCGGCCCGCGGGGCGGCGGGCTGCATGTAGGTGATTTGGTGTCAGGACAGAGGAGATTAGAACCATGCTGTCTTGCTGACCCGTTGAACAGAACCGACCTGCTGTTCCTGATGGTGCTCCCAGCAACCTGACTCCTCGGCCTCTGCAGCATTTTGTGCTGCAGCCTGAGCCGTTCTGCTGCAGGGTGACTCTCTGGGTTCTGCTGTGCTGCAGCTGCTGGGTCGGGTCCACAGCTCCCAGTCTGTTTACACACTTCTTATGCTGGTGTTGACGTTTCCTCCATTAAGGCTCCGGTTTCATGTTGCTGTCAAACAATCAGCTCAACGTTTTCGCTGATCTCTACAAAGTTTATTTTTTATAGAAGGTGCATTAAACTGTCTTTTTGTTTAGATTTATTTCCATTTCCAACAGATTTATTGGTATTTTATTTCAGGCATCCAGTCTGCCTGGTTCAGACGGAAAGCAGACCGACCGAGTTCACTGCTCTGCTTGTTCTGCCAACAGCATGAAGACGATCAGAACCGAACCGTCGTCCGCTGGTTCTGAGTGTTCACACCGGATCCAGTCTGGGTAATCCAGTCTGAATGGATCCAGTCTGGATGATCCAGTCTGAATGGATCCAGTCTGGATGGATCCAGTCTGAATGGATCCAGTCTGGATGATCCAGTCTGGATGGATCCAGTCTGAATGGATCCAGTCTGGATGATCCAGTCTGAATGGATCCAGTCTGGATGGATCCAGTCTGAATGGATCCAGTCTGGATGATCCAGTCTGGATGGATCCAGTCTGAATGGATCCAGTCTGGGTGATCCAGTCTGGATGGATCCAGTCTGAATGATCCAGTCAGACTGGATCCAGTCTGAATGATCCAGTCTGAATGATCCAGTCTGAATGATCCAGTCTGGATGGATCCAGTCAGGATGGATCCAGTCAGGATGATCCAGTCTCATCTGTTTGAGCATGCAGCGTTTAAAGCATCATGGGAAAGCCGTTTCCCCGTTCGGGTCACGTTTCAGTCTGTTTGGTTTCAGTTTGTTCTGGGTTTTACTCTGCAGCAGAAATGTTGACGGTTTTCTCTCTGGGCTGATTTCTCGTCCTTAACTGGGATTTTTATCCATTAACGGGATGAGCAACTGGGCTTTTTTAGTCCATCATTAACTCCAAACTGGGACTTTGATGTGAGTTCAGGCCGTCAGCGCTGATGAATGAGGGAGGGAGACGTTTGTGTTTAGAGAGTCTCCTGCTGGATTAAAGTGCAGAAGAAGAAGAGAGGGAGGGCCGGGTGGATTAGGAGAGGGGGCACAATGGGTGGGTACGGTGAAGAGCGCGTGTTGCTGCGGGGCGGAGGGACGCTGAGGCCTTCCCTCTGGTCGCAGCGGATTCCTGCGCCGCTGCACATCAGGAATGTTTCTGCTGGTAAACAGCGCCGGCCGCACTCTGTGCTCCTTCCTTTGTTTGGCTCCTTTATGGATCATTAAACAGCCATCAACCTTTGTCAACATCATGACTTTCTTTTTGTTGTCCTTTTCAAATATGATTCCATGTGGAGGCTTTACTTTAACTTTCCTTTGACTTCAGTCCAAAACTAACGACCTGCTGCTAAACGTACAAACTGTAAAATAAACGAATACATTTCATGGAGAGCTTTGCCTCTAACAGGTTGGTCCAGAAACGGTTCTGATCAGATGAAATCAAACCGATTGTCCAGCAGGAACTTCTGACCAGACATGGAAACTTTTCAGCCTGTGTGATGCTGCAGCGACAGACGCAGCAAGACGGATCAGATCGTCTCACTTCCCTTCGTTAGGCTGTCAGAGGCCCAAATAGTTCAGAGGGGAAAACTTTCTCTCAGTTCTGCATCCACATTATTGTTATTGTAAAAATATGAAGCCGAAGGGAATATCTATGAACACCCAGTGACCCAGCAGCTTGCAGAAGCCCGTCTACCTGCTGTATGTCGCCATGGACACATCTGATTTCACTTTCTATTCCTACGCTGCTTTATTTTATTGAGTTATGCAAATATTTGTTTGTGCACAGAGTTCAAACCGCAGCCGTCAGGTTGAGGTTTAACGAGATGTAAAAACATACAAACGTCCAAACCGCGTCGGATAAACGCCTGAAAGGTTCTGATGCCTGCGGATAGAAAACCCGGAGAGGATGATGGGAAACGTTCACGTCGATGTCCACATTTCTGATCGCGGGATTATGAACCTGGTGAATTTCTCTTTAAGCTTCGGTTGGTAGTTTATAAATGTCTGAACTGAAAGACCGTCAGCCTCTTGGACCTCTCAGGTTCTGGTTCTGGTTCTGGTTCTGAAGAAGCAGCATTCAGCTGCTAGGCACCACAAATCTGGAATAAACTTCCAGAAAACTGCAAAACAGCAGAAACATTGATTTCCTTAAACCAGCTGGTTGAAGCTGCTTCAGACTCATAATCAATGAAATATTAATATATTTTATTTTTCCTGATAAAATGTTTCTTACATTTGGTGAATTTATGATGTTTTTAGGATTTTTTGAAACTCTTTGTTGCTGAAATAAGATTGATTTGTTCTGGGTCTGTGTACCGTCTCCATGGATGGAGAAGGTTCTGTTTGGTTACAAAATGGCCGACACAAAGAGGATTCGTTTTTTAGTGATTTTATATTTATTCTGAAAGGTAGTGAATGATAATCTGTCAGCTTTTTGGTACAGCAGCTTTTTAAATTCTGCAAATGGATTAATTTTGTCTTAACGTTCAGTCAGAGAGGAGAGCGGGGCCTCTGGGGCCCCGGGCCCCCTGGGGACCCGGGGCCTCTGATCTGCTGCTGACGCCGCAAACTTGAGCTTTACATTCATCTGCTGGCCTCCCTCCTGCCAGGTGCCTCTGGGGGCCGTGGGGTCAAAGGTCGTTTCGTTTTGGAGGCTCAGAGAGAGGCGGGAGGCTCATCCAAAGCACGGCGGGTGTTTTTCCCATGAGCGTCAGCAGAGCGTGTGGCCTCGCCGCTCAGCAGGGGTCCATCGTCAATATTTAACTGGAAAACATCCGTTTGTCCTGAATGAAAGCAGCCGGGCGAAGTTGTCGATCAGACGGAGCTCCTCCTTCTGCTCCTTCTGCTCCTCCTTCTCCTCCTTCTGCTCCTTCTGCTCCTTCTGCTCCTCCTTCTCCTCCTTCTGCTCCTTCTGCTCCTCCTTCTCCTCCTTCTGCTCCTTCTCCTCCTTCTCCTCCTTCTGCTCCTTCTGCTCCTTCTGCTCCTCCTTCTCCTCCTTCTGCTCCTTCTGCTCCTTCTCCTCCTTCTGCTCCTTCTCCTCCTTCTGCTCCTTCTGCTCCTTCTTCTCCTTCTGCTCCTTCTCCTCCTTCTGCTCCTTCTCCTCCTTCTGCTCCTTCTGCTCCTTCTCCTCCTTCTCCTCCTTCTGCTCCTTCTCCTCCTTCTGCTCCTTCTCCTCCTTCTGCTCCTTCTGCTCCTTCTCCTCCTTCTGCTCCTTCTGCTCCTTCTCCTCCTTCTCCTCCTTCTGCTCCTTCTGCTCCTTCTCCTCCTTCTCCTCCTTCTGCTCCTTCTGCTCCTTCTGCTCCTTCTGCTCCTCCTTCTGCTCCTCCTTCTGCTCCTTCTGCTCCTTCTCCTCCTTCTGCTCCTTCTGCTCCTTCTCCTCCTTCTGCTCCTTCTGCTCCTTCTGCTCCTCCTTCTCCTCCTTCTGCTCCTTCTCCTCCTTCTCCTCCTTCTCCTCCTTCTGCTCCTTCTGCTCCTTCTGCTCCTCCTTCTGCTCCTTCTGCTCCTCCTTCTCCTCCTTCTGCTCCTTCTCCTCCTTCTGCTCCTTCTCCTCCTTCTGCTCCTTCTGCTCCTTCTCCTCCTTCTCCTCCTTCTGCTCCTTCTGCTCCTTCTGCTCCTTCTGCTCCTTCTGCTCCTCCTTCTCCTCCTTCTGCTCCTTCTCCTCCTTCTGCTCCTTCTCCTCCTTCTGCTCCTCCTTCTCCTCCTTCTGCTCCTTCTCCTCCTTCTCCTCCTTCTGCTCCTTCTGCTCCTTCTGCTCCTTCTCCTCCTTCTGCTCCTTCTGCTCCTCCTTCTCCTCCTTCTGCTCCTCCTTCTCCTCCTTCTGCTCCTCCTTCTGCTCCTTCTGCTCCTCCTTCTCCTCCTTCTGCTCCTTTAACTGCGAAGGAGGAGAAGGAGAAACTCGGACGGAACCACCCGGGTTTCTCCAGTTTGACCCGAACATTAAATCCTGCTGAGGTTTTCAGGTCTGAAACCCAACGCTGCCTGGAAAGCCATCCTGGTTAAAGGTCGGCGCCATGGTAACGCCATGGTAACGCCATGGTAACGCCATGGCAACCGCAGGTGCTGTCAGTCTCCTCAGGACACCTGATCTCAGGAGCATCACAGAAGATCCTGATGGTTTTAAAGCAGGAACTGGTTTTAATGACTGATTGATCGGTTTCTTGTTTCCAGGGGGATCGGGTGTGGCTCCGGGAGGAGGAGCAGTTCCTGCCCGGCTCCGTGTCTTCCTGCTCTGGAGGCGTCGTCGTCTTCGCCACAGACTACGGCCAGGTGAGAAACCTCAGCCGGCCCGGATCGGACCGAACTCTGAAACCCGTCTCGGCTCTTTCTGGCGGGACCTGATGGACCGGCAGGCTTGGTTTGGGTCAAGGAGAAACCTGCACAAAGATAAAAAACATTCCCAGGGACCCTGGCACTATATTTAGCAACATTTCAGAGAAACAAAATTAATAGCAGCCAGAATCTAAACGGGCTGGTCCGGCTCTTCAAAGATCCGCGGATCGGCCCGAAAACTGCAATCGGTGCAGCGGCACTCTGTGACTAGATGCATTTCTCTTAAGCTAAAAATGAATTTAGCGCAGGTGAGTCTTTCTCCCATGAGAATGTGGACCGGTACCGGTACTGGACTTGCCTTCAAATGATTTTAACAGAACTTTACGGGTTCTGGGTCCAGATCTCTGACCGGTTCTGGTTCTGGGTCCAGATCTCTTTCAGCTGTCGTCCTGCTGTAGGACTGGACTCGTTAAGCAGAACCGAGATCTAAGTGGATCTACGTTGAGCAGAACTCGGCCCGTCATCGGACCTGCGGTTCACATTTGATTCACCTCAACAGAAAAGTTTCTGTTTCTATAAGAAGCTTCAGTCGTTCCCACATTTATCCCGACTCAGCAGCTCGGAGTCTTGAAAGGATCCGTTTGGTACCGTGGATCAGCTGCAGAGCCGCTGAAGCTCGGCTGGTTCTGCCTCACGGCTTTGATCCGTGTTGTGGAAACAGACAGGAGCTGAAGGATGTTTAGAGTCGGCCATTTATGTTTTGGATATAAAGGAAAGGTTTAGACGTGATGGACGATCAGTCGGGATGAAACCTGCAGCTTCCAGCATCTACAACCCGATTCGCTCACAAACATAAAATAAAAATACATCTAAAAGCAAAGAGACAAAAGAAATCAGCAAGCAAATGAAAATAAAATGAAACAAACTGCTGATTCAACACAACATCAGTTTCCCCCTCATGTTTTAAACATTAAACTAAATCTGTGGGATTTTATCTTTGACCCAAACCAGACGACCTCCGGATGTTTTAGATAAACTTTAGTTTGACCTGAAAAACTGACAAGAAAATAATTTCTGTGTTTAAACAGAGTAAACAGCGACTCCAGTGTTTCTCAGATGTAACAGGCGCAGCTGGTGGCTCTGAGCTGTTTGTGCATCTAAACTCAGACATCAGCAGTGAATAAGTGACGTTTGTCCTGCAGTTTTCCTGCAGAGGCCTCGCAGTCGCGGCTCGTCTTCCTCGGGTTTCAGGGTTTGGGCAGACAGGCTCCTCCTCCGGCTGGCTGCAGCACAAAGCAGCAGCAGATGAATGGTGATTCAAACAGCAGCTGCTGCTTTTGATGCTGACAGAAAGGAGAAGCTGGAGGCTTACCTGCCGACCTCTGACACACAGACGCGGCTCGGTTTCCCCGTCATTCTGCTGCTCTGACACGCTGATTATTAGCATGAAATACGAGCTGATGGTTAAACGTTACTGGACCGATCAGACGCTCCAGGTTCTGTCAGGAAAAAACACCTGAAGGAGTTTAAGACAGGAGATGGAAGTTTGTTCCAAAATCAAAATAGAGAACACTATTGCAACATTTAAGGAGATAAAGAGCATTCAGTGCATTCAGACTGTTTCCTCAGAGGATCTGAAAAGAGACTGGAGATCAGAGCTGCAAATAATCGATTATAGATTCAGACGTGTAATCAATACATTGAGAAAAACTGGGACATTCTGCAAATTTTTCATTTAACCACTTAAGTTTGTTTTTTGTAAGATTTTACAAAAAAAATCTTACAAAAACAAATGATTCAGTTCCTTTTTTTAAGTTTTAAGTCTGTTTTAGATGTTTAAATGTTTTGAGCTAAAAATATTCAACATTTTAACTAGAAGTGAAGAAACTAAGATTGTCGTTTTTGCTCATTTTCAACTTTTTTTTTTAGTTTTTTTCCTGTAGCTGTAAATTCCTTCCTGGATCATCTAAAATAAAAGTTGATCCTGACAGATCGAAAAGCAAATCCTAGTGATGTTAGCAGTTAGTGGCGGTTAGCATCATTAGTATGCTAACTGGTGGCATTTAGCATTCTAATGATGCTAACTGGAGGTGGTTTGCATCACTAAGATGCTAACCATCTTAGTGATGCAAACCATCATTAAGATGGTTAGGGTTGCAGTTATCTTCATCAGGAATCTTACTGGTGGCGGTTAGCATCATCAGGATGCTAACTAGTGGCAGTTAGCATTCTAATGATGCTAACTATTGGCAGATTGCCCTCTCCTGCCTGCTGACTTTGTGGCCCACAGATTTACCCCTATAGCATCTGCTGCTGGGCTTAGCGCCCGGCTCCCAGGTTTTCTGTCGAGCTGCAGATCCCTGTTGACTCTCCAGAGAGATAAATGAGCTAAATATAGAAATGTAATTAAGTGAAAATCTGGGGTCCTACTGGGACGGAGCTCTAATTCTGGGATTGCTCTGGATTGGGAATGTTTGGGATTGTTTGAAGGAATTTCTGTGTTTGAACTTTTCTTACATCGTTGAACTTCATGACTTTTTGTTGATTGAATAACACAACAAAAGGTCATGAACAAGTCAGTAAAATTGCTGTGAGAGCCTCTCCCTGGTGTGAATGAACCTGATGAAAACCAGTGAGGCTTGTTGTTGGGTTTCTGCTGCCGTCATGTCCTGGTAAGTCAGCGCTGGTCGCCGGCCGCTGGGTGCAGAACGCAGCGCTTTCTTCTGAAGCGCTTCAGTGACGAACCGTTTGTCGCTGACGCGTCACAGCGGGAGGAATGTGAGAAACGAAGGCTGACAGGATGCTGGGGGGCTTCTCTGCTGTTAATGTGTGAGTGTGCGGGGGCCAGGGGTCAGAGGTGACTGACTCCTCAGACAGAGACCAGCTTGTTTCAGGAATCGCTGCTCTGAACTGGTGGACCGCAGCTGGTCACAGAGGGGCCACAGCCGGCCCCCGCCTCACGGTGTTAGCTCCACTCTATGATTTTATGACAGAAAATCTACATCATATCTGAATCATCAGACATTCTCAACATGCCAGATCCTTTCAAAATAAATCTTCAGTGTGTCTGAAACCTGGAAACTGGACTGGTCAGTCCAGATCAATGACATCATTTTTGTTTTTCATAAAAACTGTACTGTGCAAACACTCAATAATTCAGTTCTCCTCAAAACAATAAACGACTGCATTAAATATATATATATATTTTACTTTTTGATTACTTAATTTGTATATATGTCATAAAAGTGAGTTTTATCGGGATCTGGAAAAGATACATCAGTGTCCAGTCAGGTCTGATAATAACAACTGATCTGTGATAGTTTCCTCTGCTTCCTGTAAACTTTAGAAAAGACTGAGACTTTCTCCTAAAGCTGAACAAGAATCATCCTTTTCCTGGCAGCGTTTAGCCTCAGAGTCATCTTCTGCAGCTCAGGATCAAATGCATCCTCGCTGCCTGCCAGATGTCACGCTGTGGAAGGAGAAACGTAACACGAGACACGAGCAGGTTCACCGGGACGAGGAGGCTCTCTCCATCCCAGGTCTTTACTTCACAGGTGAACAGAAGGAGACAAATGTTTTGACTTCTGCCTGTTAGTCAAACACATTTCGTAAGTTTTTTGGTATATTTTGCTCCCGAAATTGAACAAAAAGCAAAGTCAGCAGGAGGTCAGGTTTGGGTACCGATCTTGTTTCCTGATGTGTGATGAGATAAAGGGACATTGGAGTCAAAGTAAGTCCTGGTCCTGACTGCTTCAGGCTGTCAAAACTTCAATTTAAAGATGCCTGTTACTGACTCTCTGCACGTGACGTCACGCTCCCCAGAGCCCCGCCCACTCCGCCATGACGGACCAAGCGCTCCTTAGAAGCTGGTCTGAAAACATTGTAACCTAGTATCGCTTCTACTTAGTTAATTTCACTTTAAATAAATTAAAATTCTTTAACTTGCTGCGCGGTCAGAAACAGACAAACCAAACTTGTCATTTTATTGTATAACATTTAATGAGGAAAGACGGACAGCAGCTGTCAGTAATAATGACTGGAAGCGGATTTGTGACAAACTCTTTATACAAGGTACGAAGACTAAAGTTAATTTACTTCATACGTAAATATGATAAAAATATCAAATATCGCATTTAGGTACCTGTCTAACCGTAACCATGGAGACAGTGCCGCTCCTCCATGTAGCCTAGCATGTATGGAAAACACTGGTTAGCATCTGGTTTGTACGTTTTTAATTCGATGTAAAGGAAAACAATGTTTATGGCACAGTGATATAAATCATGTGGTGTGAATTCAGGGAAAGTCTGTAATTTGATCAGGAGGTTTGGACCGGTTCTAAGCTAGCCGTTGGAGCTAGCTGCTGGAGCTAGCCGTTGGAGTTAGCCGTTGGAGCTAGCTGCTGTAAATCCCGCCACATATGAACCCAACCAGCTGAGCGACGTTCACGGACAAGTTAGCTCAGACAAATAGAACCAGGAATAAAATGAAAAATAACTCTAGAAACATTCAAAGTGGCTCTGTTCAGGACTCCCGTCTATCATGGCGCCTTCACCAAATGTCGCCATCTTGGTCTCCAGAGAGGCTGAGTCTACCTGACGACCAGGTGTAAAGATTCCAAAATGAACTGAGTCCAGGCCTTAAGAAACTCAAAATGTTCCTTTCAAAATAAAAGCTGACGTCACAGTGAACCTTCTGAATCCGCACTTTAACTCTTCTGACACAGAAGATGAAGGTTTTCAGGATGTTGCCGTTGGTTGGCGGGAACATTTGAAGGTGTGAATGAGGTCCAGGGTTCCTGTCGCTGTCCAGGTCTGATCCCGGTGTTTTCTGTGCTCCGGTCCAGGTCTACACCTACAAGCAGAACGCCCTCACCAGGCAGAAGGTGCAGCCCATGCACCACAGCAGCGTCAGAGGCGTGGAGGACATGGCCACGCTGGAGGACCTGCATGACGGCGCCATCATGCACAACCTCTACCAGCGATACCAGCAGAGGCAGATCTATGTGAGTTCACTTCATACCAGAACCAGACCCAGAGATCTCACTAATCACTATCAATAATGATAAATTCCTCTCTAGATGTCTTCACCAATTATTTCCCCTTTTGCTTGTACTGGATCCAGAGTTCGGTTGTTACCAGTTACATTTTCTAAATTACATTTACTTGAGTACATTTTTTAAAAATGTATTTTTACTACACTGTACTTTATACTTGAGTAATTATATCATAAAGTATTTTTTTGCTTATTGGAGTAAAATTTCTGGATTTTCTACCAACTGAATGAAAAACAAACATGTTTTAACCAAAAAACCACCAGACACAGAAACACACTTGCTGCTTTTTTTTTTATTGATTTGGAATTTTTTTTCTTTTTGTCCAATTTTGTTTTTTTTTTATTACTTGTATGAATTATTGTCATTTTTAAAAAATGTGATTTAAGTGGCTCTGGATTGAAGGAAGTTGTATTTCCAGTTTCTAAAATGTAAAACCTGATAAATTAAAGGTTAACACATGAAGGAAATCATTCCACCTGAAGAAGAGTCCAATCATGGCCAGCAGTGATTTCGCTGCCTGGGATCAATGTCTTCTCTGAACTGCTCTCTGCTGGAATCACCCCGACAACCTGAAACTGCTCAGCCCTGTTGCGTAACGCCGCTGATAACCGGCTGGATGTTGGCAGAGAAAGTGAAAGCAGTGCGGCTTTTGAAGTGACGAGAAACGTGTGGCATGCCTGGTTCGGTACGATGTGTCAGAAATCGTCCAGCTTCCTGTCTCTGATGATGCACGGGGCACTCTGTTCTGTTCCAGGGAAGGTTTCATAAAATCCCTGGGGGAAATATTTGAATTTGCTGAGTTTGGGCCGTGATATCCAGGAAAACATGTTCAGACACAGCAGGAATACTCACAAGAGCCCTAACTGTTCGTAATGTTGCAATATTTAACTGGGAAGACAAATATTAAATTCATGTATCCAGTAGTTTGTGCAAGAAAGTAGAAGCTATTTTTGTTGCAATCTAGATTGTTGCCACTAGGTGCCACTAAATTGCTTTCTTTTTTGTCAACAATGTGTCTGATTATTACAATTTTTTCCTGTTTTTTGGTTTTTCTGAAAACAAATTCCAGTCTTTGGTTTGGAAAAACAAAAGTCATGCAGGACAAACGGCTCGTTACTGTCCTGTTCCTGGATTCCTGGATTAATGAACAATCGCGACCCGACGCTTAACGCAGCAAAACAAACACAAAGCCGGCCTTGTTCTCTGTGTTTGGCACGCATCAGGCAGAGTAACCTTTGACAAATGCCATGTTGTTGCCTTAATGACGTTTGAATGTTCCCGTATGGTTGAAATTATCCAATCAATTCATCACAGCCAGCCGATCAGCAGCCGGACTCGTTTCTTCTCTTTCTGGAAAGAGGTAGCTGAGAAAAGGGAAAATTGGACTGGAAGATTTGGTGAAGTGGATTGTGGTGAACCAAAGAGAGTGGCTACGCACACACACACACACACACACACACACACACACACACACACACACACACACACACACACACACACACACACACACACACACACACACATGTTGTGTGTCTGTTGGAAATGAGCATGAGTCAGAACTTTAGAATTTCAGGATTAGTTTTAAAATATTTTTAACCAGTACCTAGTAAAGTTGAACAAAGAGAACTAGCTTGTAAAAAAACCAGATGTTTGAATGTTTCCAGCCTGGAAATAGAAATGTTTTCTCTCTGAATAACTTCCTGAGACGTCCTTTTTTTTTTAATTTGCTGCATCACAGCTTGAGTTTTTGGCTAATTTATTTATCCCTTTACTGACAGAGAAAAATCCAGCGTTTAAAAACATTTAAGCCATATTTCAGTTTCTTTTGGCCTCCAGATGCTCTAAGTTAAAGATATTCAGCTCGTCTTGTTTACATGTGAAACAAAGTATCATGATTTACAGTAATTTAAACTTCTACAAACAAAATCAAACCTCATTTTGGGGTCATGCAGAAAAAAAATGTTAGAAAAACTCCCAGAAAAAAATCTAGAAATTTTATTATGGAAAAGTCAAAATAACTATTTATTTTTACTTCAAAATAATTAAAATTCTTGTTTCAAATTGCACGAACAACATTTCTGATCTGGTAAAGAGTTTTATTAAACATCTCAACCAATTCTGCTTAAAAACATGCAAACACAGCATTATCCTCACTCTTTGCAAATTTAAAATAAACATTTGGCGTAATGACACTCAAGAGTCAGATCAGCGTAACACGCTCCCATCTCAGGGTACAACAACACACCGCTAAGCATTCTGGGAGATAGTTCCCACTCCTGTCTTTTCCGTCTTTCATTTTTTTAAAGTGGTAACCTAAAAACTCTTGCAGGTTTGACAAAACAACTTACTATAAGTCTATCTTTCACAAACTCACATTTAGGTTCAAAATCTAAAACGCTTTAAATTTATTTAACTTAAAGAGAAGAAGATAGATGCAACTAAATGTGGCTCAAATGTTTTACAGTGAAGTTTAACTTTGAGAGAGTTTGAAAACATCTCAGTTTCATTTCTGGGTCATTTTCTGGATAAATTCAGTGTAGCGAAGCAAGCCTGCAGACTGCATGTGTGTGTGTGTCTGTGTGTGTGTGTGTGTGTGTGAGAGTGTGTGTGGGTGTGCATGAGTGTGTGTGAATGCTTCCACTGGAATCTGCAGGAGACGAGGGAGGCCACCAGTCGACAGCACAGCTGGTTGCAATCACTGCGACTAAAGATGTTGCACACACACGCACACACGCGCGCGCACACACATGCACACGCACACACACATTTCCAGCAGAGCAGCGCTCCGTGTTCTCCCCCCGGCCCGCCGCTCGGTTCTCGGACCTGATCCGTACCACATGGTGCGTCTTTTGTTGGCACCGACAGCCATGTTCTCTGGTTATTCCGTCCCACATGTTTCTGTTTCAGCCCGTCGGTTCCGTTCGCCTCATGTTTCTCTGAGCAGTCAGACGCTGAGGAATGCGGCCCTCTGGATCCGTTTCAGGGCCTGAGCCCCTGGCAGCCTGCAGGGGGTCCGGCCAGTCAGAAACTCCTGATAAACTGGTTTGGGATCCTGTTTGCATGACGGGAACGCCTTCTGATGGACTTTTCCCCTCGTGTGTGTGATCTTCACACAGAGATCTTTAATTGACCTCGGTGTCTGATTGGTGCTTTAATTAGATTTTGCTCCCAGTTCTCCCACTGGGAGCAGGCTGTGGATGATGTGAGTGGAACTGCAGCTTCTGGCTGATTTAAAATCATTATTCTTTTATTATATTAAAAGAATATGTGTTTGTTAAACACATCTATTAGTGTTAAAGATACACAAATTGTTGCAAAACAACCTAAAAAAGGCTCTAATATGGCTGATAAGTCATCAGTCTAAACGATGACCAATCGTTTATCTAGTTTTGGTTCCAGTTTCATTTTACAGCTTGATCCGTTCAGAAAATCTCATTTACATGTCAGAGTGGAAAGTGTTTCATCCTCAGTAAAACGGGTCAGAAGTTTTGTTTCCATCGAGCAAAACGTCTCTTTCACTCTGAAGCAGCGAGTCTGGAGACGGACGGGTCCGAGGCCTCGGTCGGAACCAGCTTCAGCTCCTCACGGTGTTTTCATCCATTCAGGACCGTCTTCAGCGTTCGGCTTCAGGACAACTGAAGATTTCATCAGCAGTTTGTTCCTCAGTGCAGTGAAACTTCTGCAGGTGGAAAACAGAAACAAACGTTTCCACCTCCGTCCATCAAAGTGAGGAAAGACATTTTCACCTCAAAAATCAGATTCAAGTCACTTCCAGATGTGGAGCTCAATCACAAATCGTCTGCAGTCTGTTGCATCATAACGCTGCAGAAGAAGCCAGACATACATCTGGATGTAAATATTGTATAAAAATGATAACTAAGAACTGATGAAGGAATCTCATCACAAACGCTCCACTCCTGGTTTTACATCCAAACACAAACAAATAAAAACAATCAGAAACTGGAAAATGTATTTTCTTCCTCCTCTCCATCAGCGTGGAAAACTGCAGGATCTGAAGCTTTGAGTTCTTCCAGCAATTGTGATTTATTTAAAGGCAAAAAGAGGCAGAAAGAGCTCACTCTTGTTTTTAACTCATATTTTATCAGCTTATTTAATCAAGTCAAATGTTTTAATTGCTTGATTAGTTAGATTTGTTATTTTAATTGAGATCTGCTGCAGGATGTGAACAGCTTTGTGATTGTGTTGGAAAGTATTCCTTAATGTCTGAGCTCCTCTGACAACTGGACTCGTTTGTGCTGCAGAAAAGCTGCAGCTCCCTTCAGGTCTGTTAGACGTCATTTCTCACAGTGTCAATAATTATGGGGTGCTTTAAAAATAGTCCTAAAATGTTTTGTTCTACTTGAAAACATGTGAGAGAACATCTTGTACAAATTTCCCACAGACGTCCTTGATTAGGGAGGAATCTGGGAAATGTAAAATATGCCTGTGAGCTTCAGTTGTATGAAATGTGAGACGACTGAAGACTTGGAGTCGGACAGAAAGTGTTTGTTCTGCAGGAGGCCAGAGGACAGCGAGCGAACAGGAAGCGCTTTCAGCTGAACTCAAACCGTCCCGATGGGAAGATCAGAGTGAAAACCCGCCGGGCTCGGACCCACCGGGCTCAGACCCCCACCGGGCTTTGACTTGCCGGGCTCGGACCCGCCGGGCTCGGACCCGTGGGGCTCTGACCCACTGGGCTCTGACTTGCCGGGCTCGGGTCAGAGCCGGGCTCTCCGCCTCTTCGTCATCCCAGTGGTGATGAAGGCTCTTCCGGGTCGGCGTTGTGAGTGGATCGGAGTAACTGGGTTTTTTTAACGAGGCTCTGCTGTCGGTCTGCTGACAGACGGGCTGCAGCAGCCAGCGGCTGCTCCGCTTTCACAGGTTCTGCTATCAAAACAGAACCAAACTGGACTGACGCTTGGACCGGCACAGTCCATGCTTTAGTTGGA